ATAGTAGTAGTAGTAGTAGTAGTAGTAGTAGTAGTAGTAGTAGTAGTAGTAGTAGTAGTAGTAGTAGTAGTAGTAGTAGTAGTAACAACCAGAGACTCCCGTGGACTTGGGGATCGGTGTTCGACTCTCGTTCAGAAGGTCCATGGTTTGAAACCTGACGGAGACGAAAAAATGTACTGTTCTTTAAAAGATCGTTCTTTCATATCCTGTCTCGTTCTCAAATCCTGTAATGCCATCTACTTCCATCTCCACTTCTTCCCACCACCGCCCTCCCCACCCCTACCTCCACCCCGGTGTGTTCTAGGCTCCTCTCTTCTTTACTTCATTCTTTCTTCTGATACTCCTAGCTCTTTCTTCTGCCTTTAGCCGCACCCCTAATCTTGCGGAAGGTAAGATCGGACACCAGATAAGGACGAAAAATCTCGGAGGTCCAGTGTACAAATTGTGCACGCTAAAATCTCTTTGCAGGTCCTAAAATCTATAAGAGTAATCTTCAGCGCATCCCGGGCAAATACAACAATTACTTCCTGCCGAAACTATCTAGTCAGTATTCAAAGCATGGAGTACCTTCATAATGAGAATGTGGCTGCCTGAAGGCAAGGGGTCCATACCAAGTAGGAATAATGGCCAAATGTGTACAAATCAGTTGCATTGCAGGTTGAAGAACCAGCTATTGACTACCCTTGAGACCTAGCAGGGGAACGCAAAGAAGAAAAAGACAGTACCGGTATCAATAGTAATAATAATAATAGTGTGTCCATCATAAACTGACGTTGACCAAAAGCATCCAAGGAGGAAGAGACGTTATAGACCTTGGTAGCGACCGTTATGTAAGCCTGCCATGATTTTTAAAAAACCAAAACTTGACGCAGATTTCAGATCCTTCCCCTTTCCTTAAGTGTGTGATTATTTGCCTTAACATAATTATTATGGTTATTTTTTTTACCAAACCCTCTAATTTGTTTCTTACAACATAAAGATATCATGTAAGTATATGTGTGTATATATATATA